CTTAAGATCGAACCGAAAAAGAAACCTCCCGCAATTATCGGGCACACCGGACTAGGCCAATTATCAATAAATAAAAGAGGATGAATCTAATTTGAATATGAAATATAAAAGTTAACAATGATATGTTTAAATTTTGAATTATAATCTCATGTATTTACTTACCAAGTTGACGCTTTGAAATATACAGACAATAAAATCTATTTGGGGCAAATATCTATCAAATTTTTGGTTGATAAGAAAAAAAAAGAAAAAACATTTAAAATTTATAATGACCAATAATAATTACCAAAGCATGCCATATAAAAAGGTAGTTTATATGCCATAGATAAACGACGTTTAGTCATTTTCCAGCGAACAAATAAACGATAAATGACATATATTATGCAACAAGCATCAATTAGTAGTAGTATTAGACCGATCGCATAGGATATGCGCATAGTCGAAGTACCAATTTCTTTCGCAAGATCCGCATTAAACGATGTATCGTCATCACCCAAATTGTCTGAATGGTTGTAACCAGCCGAATTGTCTGAATTTTCGTAACCAGCCGAATTGTTGTAACCAGCAGATTCAGTTGAAGATATAGGTGATCCCTGACAATAACTTATCGAAAGGAAATATGTCAAGAACACAAATACGTAAAAAAGGAATGATAGAGAGCGCATTAAGAGCAGATAGTCCGAATAATGTGAAGCTTGAAATATTCTGGAGCGAGTTGCTTTATAAATAATTCAGAGAATTTCTTTCATTAGAATTGAGAAAATTTTATTTCATATTCTAACTAGGTATATCATAGTAAAATTATCGAACACATACACAACAGCTATAAGAATTGTTCTGAAATTTAAAACACGAATTTTTATGTATATTAAAATATAACCCGTTTTGTAAATCAAAATAATTTTTTTTTTTTTAAAAAAAAATAACGATTAGGCACTTTTATATGAAGCCAAAGCTTACGTCATGCTACATGGACCACGTTACCAATAATCTATAGATCACACCTCCAGTTTTATATTTCTTATAAGGTAGTTGCGCTACATCATCGCGCAAAACCAGGAACGGGAAATTTCTCGGAAATATAAGTTATAATTATGGTATTTGGACTAGTAATACGTAACAAATTGTGTCTAGAAGCATACGAATTCTGCTACGTACGTACGTATTAAAAATACTTTATTATGCAGGTCTAATCGATTATGGATTTTGGTATGATTGCACTGTATTTATCTGTTATATTAATAGAAATGTGGAATTCACATAACGTGCATTACTGGGGTGTGTGGTCAAACTAGGTAACGGTAAATCGAAACTATATAAAGTACCATATTATAATAAAAATTGATTACGTACTAAATTAATTACGAAATTAATTACGAAATTAATTACCTAAATTATATAATTACGTATATATTAAGGATTTGTTATCCTATCTCTATTTTATATACTTTAAATAGTAAATAATGACTTATATGTTTTTAGATATCTAAAGCTAATCATTACTCTTTCAATTCTTTCAGCATATATATAAAAAAACATCTATTATAGTTTGAACCTAGAGACATCGAAAAATTTTTTAAAGGAATAAAAATTGCTGATACTTTTGTTTAATTATGGATAGTATAGTTGATTATCTATACCACACTATGCCATACTAAAATTTATTAGGTTTTTTTTTTTAAAAAAAAAAAATCGCTACTAACTCGACGAATATTTGAAATTTCGTAGAAACAATACTTTGCTTGGTAGATATTATACAGAACTATAAAGCCAAGTATTGTTTTTTGCGAAATTCGAAATCACATTTATAACAATGTTAAGTTAAAAATTTTCTAATGTTTAAATTTGATTATTTGCAACACACCTGTTTCATATTATGTACTATTTAAAAGAGATATAACATAATATATTTATAAACGTGTTTAAAAATAGATTTATGCCAAACAATTCAAAATAGTAAAGCGATTTGCTCTGTTATAAAAATATATATAAAAAGGCGATAAGAATCTGTTCATTACCCTGATCACTAAATTCGAAAGAAAAATCTTGGATAATTAATTTAATTCGTAAATTAGAGAAATATTATAATTTATTATTGGTTTAAACTCTGTAATTATACGTTTAAAATACTTATATCTTATAATCTACTAAGCCAATTTTAATATTTAATTACTATTATAATTAAAATTCTTTTTTCTACAATTTTTATATTAGAAATAAAAAAATTAGTTTACCTTTTTTGGAAGTGCAGATTTTACCAAAAGCAAAAATTATATAATAAAAATATCACAACTATAACTGTTTTATACGTATATGAATTACTAATTAAATATTTTTTATATGGTACTATATACATATGAATGACCGAAAACCTGTAAACAGTGTTGGCAGAATATGGACATGGACAATATGGACCAATTGACATGGACATTTATGGACTAAGTCCTTATTGTCCATATTTTTTTATTGGGCATAGATACTTAGTCCAAAAAAATCGAATTCGAAAGATCTTAGCAAAGAAGACATGAGTGAACCATAAAGTGGTTACCTTTATTCCATGCAGGATATTGGAGAAATCCGTAAATTGCCC